AGGAGTTCGAAATGAATTACTCCTTTGATGTCCCACCAAATGCAAAGCATCACTTTCTGCGAATGGAGTCGGAAGTGGTTTTTGTCGAGGACTGAACCATTGTTTTTGGCGTTTAATATTCGCATAGAGAATCCATTTTTCATCACCGATGACATTTTTGTCCAAAAATGGTTCACGCGCATTACGCGCTAGAAGAGACGAAGCAGCTTTCACACGTTGGAAACGATGATTATTGGAGAGATCGTGAGGCACCCAAACATCTTCTTTATGGAGTTTTCTATATTCCTTAGATGTTTAAGTATTGTTTCATGAGAATAATGCAATTTCAGGGACATTTCACGAATGTGTTGCCTTTGGTTAGACTCAGCAAGCGCCTTCAGAGTATCAATATCAATTCCAACATCTCGGACTCTGCCATCACAGTTTTTGTGGCTAAAGTCACCTGAACGAAATTTTCTGAACCATCGTTCACACTTACGAACGTTCAAAACATTTCCATAAACTTCTTTGAAGCTACAGAGGCGTTGTTTCCCTTCTTGTATTCAAACAGCATTACATGCCGAATGTGTGTCTCGTCGTGGGCTATTTACTATAAGGGATTAGAGTATACCAAACTTTACACATTATATAGGCTACACTAACGTGATGTTTAGGCGGTTCGTTTAACTATTGTATGTGATGTACGTTTTTTGGGGGGTGTTATTTAAAGTGTTCCAAAACGGCACATTAATTTCTTGACGACCTAATATAAAGTGAAGGCACTGTAACAAAGCTATATCTTACCATATTACTAGTGTCGATGAAATTGTGGAGGTAGAGGGCGTTCAGCCACCAATTTTTTTTACACCAGGTGTCGTACATTATGATAGTATCAAGCCAAGCTGGCCCTTCCCCCACGTACCGTAAAAGTACAGCAGAAAAAGCGATAATAGCCATCATTAAAGGGGTCATGCTGTAAATTATGGAAAGACAAAACGAAACATATATTAAAAACAAACTGTACAGCAAAGTAAAGTAATAACATATATACGTATACATACATATCGGTTAAATCTCACCTAAATTAAAATTTTAAACCTTTTACCTGCTAATCGTAAGATTTTTTTTTATAGAAAAGTGCAAATTTTGCGCGCACACAAATATCTGGTAGAAACTTTTGTCAGCTAATTTGGTTTGGGAATTTAAAAGTTCCGCTTTATTGAACTATTACGCAATTGCCTATAAACGCTTTATAATGCTTTTTATTATCTTAGAGCTAATACCTGCTTAAATAAAAGACAGAGCTATGTACATAATAGTCGACTTGTTTCGGATTTTGACATCTGGAAAGTTTCTTAAGAACAGTTATATACTTTGCATTGAAAAATAAAATCAAGAAAAAATGTATGAAATGATTATTATAAAAATTCATTAGACAATATAAAAGTAAGCTAATGTGTGTCTTGCATGTCGCTTCAATAATCAGCCAATATTTTAAATAGAACTTACAACTAAAACGTTTTCATATATTTGTTCCAAATTCTATCAAAAAATAGAAAATAAAAAACATTTCCGAAGACCACAGGTAAATATAAGCAGAGTAGAGTTTCAATAAAGAAAATAATGCTTAATATAGAATTATTACTGGTAAACCTATTTAACATATTCCATATTTTACTGCTGATTTATACAATATTTCCAAACACATTAACAACCTACATAGTATTTTATCGGACATCAGTAGTTAGGGCGCTTTTATTGCATGGCACACCACCAGAAGGTGACACGTGTGCCGACCTCAGGGAAAAGGGTAGAGAAGATGATGTCATAGTTCTACGAAGTGACACCAGGAGTGCTACTGTCTGAAGGTCATAATTCCACGAAATGGAACCAAAGAGCGCATTACTAGGAGCACGTTGCTAGGCCGATATAATAGTTGTAATTTGTCATGTCGACATGACACTTGACAACGGAAGTTGTCTGCTACCAGAGAGCACGTTACTATGGCCACGATGTGACACCAGATGTCCTGTTCTTAGGGGAGTGGGTGACACCACAGTTAAATACCAAAGGGCCTGTTACTATAAACACTAAACACATATGTTTAATTGATTAACCAATAGTATTTAACCTTATTTGCTTAGCATACTTTTACAATTATCTGTTGCTTTATGTATAAAACTTAACTAATTCATTAGTTTTAAAGTCTCACTTCTGTATCTAATCATACTTTTTGCTGTTTCTAGAGTTGGATAGTGTTACTATCACATTTAACATACTAATTATAGTTATCACTTCTATATCTAATCATACATTTGCAATTTCGAAAGAGGACAGATTTGTCGTGATAGCCTCTCTAAATAATTTAACATACAGTCTTATTGTTTCACTAATTTGGCTTTATAGTTTAAATATGCTATTCCTCTACCCATATAACAATGATATTTTATTGTTTTTGACAAAATATTTCATTTTCCACATATACCTTTTGTTTTCAATTATATACGGTTTAAAAAGACAGATGGTAGGATTGCATACAGGTCTGAACTTGTCTCAACTTATGTTTATAGTTTTTAATTTATATATTACATGTGTTTCTATAGGAGGATAGTGTTAGTAGCACATTTAAAGTACTACTGAAAAGTTTTTATCAAATCTAATATATAATTTTTATAAATACTGAACGAGACAGCCAATTGTGTTTTTATGATTTAGTACACATTTAACGTACTGAGTATAGTACTTGCTCCTATATCTAATCGTACTTTTTTTATTTTTTGACGCTTTATATGTAAAACAATTATCATTAATCCATTTCTATAATTATTATGTACCATCTTTTATCCTGAAAAGGATGCTTATTTAAATCTCTACCTTACTATCACGAACCAGCTGTCTATGATGCTTACTAAGTGGGAAATTGTTTCCCTTATTATGATGGTAGTCAATGACAATGAGGATGCGGATTGGGAGATGTTTTAAGTAAATTCTTTCATCTGGCTATACCATTTCTGAAAAAAAGGAACATTAGCCTTAGGAAAACAAGCTGTTCAGTCAGGTATAAATTTAGCATCAGATATCATACAAAGAAAATTATTTTTTGATGCTGGAAAACGATGAGCAATACAAGGAGCTCAGAACCAAGCTCGAGATGTCAAACAGATTGCTCTTCCTGATAAAATAAAGAAACAGAAAAGGCCCTGTGTTTAGAATAGCTAAAACTAAGTGACAAAGAACATTGACTCCAGACTTTTTCGACGAGTAATCATAACTCTGAAAAGTCCTGTTAGTGTACAAAGTTTGAGCTAGACTTATTTTCTCTCCTTCCCATGCAAACCATGATTGATGAGGATCATTGGACCGAATATTATCCTCTATCATCGTTACTTACAAAGGTCCAATCAGATTTTCTATATCGAGATTTACTAAAACACGTTTGTATTTATGCTAGAAAAGCCAAGATCAGTCCATCAGTCGTTCTGTCCCACACTAAAGCATTTCAGAGAGGAACAGATAAATATCCATTGAGATATATAGAGCAAATCGTTTTTAATTTCACAGGGAAACTTACAAGCATCTGTCGGTGATGCGTTTCTAGGTCTAGTACCTACGCGTCTTTTTATAGAATGTGTTGATAACAATGCATTTAACAAATCTTGGGAGAAAATCCCATACAGTTTCAAACATTACAGTATCAAATTTGAGTCAATCAATGTGGATGGAAAACAGATTCCTGCTCGACCTTTAAAACTATATTTTGATGCTGAACTGTATGCACGATGCTACGAAACATTATCGCCCTCTGGTGTTACTACGTGGAACTATAACATCATCGTTTCTGGTAAGTGGTACTCAAGCTACAAGATTTTTGCACATTACATAATAGTTATGTTACCCTCAGAAGGCATCCTTTGATCTCTACTCACATGTCGACTCCCCCCCAAACACACACTGAGATGGCATATTTTGGATGCCTAACGATCCGGGTAACTACTTATATCCATCAGAAAAAAATGCTTATATTTCTAAATTTATAAAGTATCTTTTTTTTTAAATCAGGCTGTTACATTGTCTCATAGCACAAGTAACAGTAAACAGTAAACATGGAATTTGATTTTCGTTTATGTAATGTAAACATGATAAAAATATTACACCAGATGACACTTACCGCCAGTAACGATGAAAGTAAAACCACGCCAAGGGGAGTTTTCCTTCCGATTTTGTCAGTTGTTTTAATGTCAGTAATGTTACCAAGAAACCACTAAACACAGAAACACTGTATGATTAATAACTACATTGAAATAAAGTTTCACTTAGTGGAAAAAATACCGATAAGTTTTTGTAAATTTTAAGGTAGGGTAATAAGAATAGTACTAAAGGTTAGTTCAGAGCACTTTATATAAATTGATTGATTTCAGTAACTGACTGATATGCAGTTAGAAAGAGTGTAACTTTTTCATTAAAATTAGTTCTACAATATTATGGTTAGTTCACAGTATAGTTTTAATATATTGTAAAAGCTTACATGTGTTACGAATGTTCACCACATACCGAGATACTAGAACAATAAGAAAGTAGAGAACTGATTAGCTGGATAACCAATGTTAATGCTGGCTCACAATACGTTTTCAGTGTGCTGTGGAAACTAAAAGGTTTTGGGCAATAAGTGAATGGTATCTGATCTCACCACTAAAAGCGCATTATTTGCTTAGTTTTATGTATAAAACTTTCTAGTATATTTAAGTGAATATTTATTTACTTTACTTATTTCAAACAAAATATTTGCCTCGTTGTAGAAAGTTGGTTAAAGTGTACTGAAAAGATCCTAAATCAGCAACTCCATACATATCTTTACCAATCCTGATTCAATTATTCCATTAAATATTATATTATGTATACTTATTTGATTTTGTCATGCCATTATTTTAGAATTTAGTCTGCTAAACATAAGTTTAAAGGATGAGTTGTTAAAAATCTAATCAGACTTGACAGATACAGTTGCTAAATCTACTCCTTCATGATCTAAGTCTTTCTTCTCCACACAGAAAAGTAAGATAAAGGAAGAGGGCTTGAAACGATAACACATAAACTGTACTTTCTTTATTTCTGTGGCATGCTTTCACAGTATTATACTTTTTACCTCGGATTTCCTTCTGCACCCTGATGTTCTAACCAATAATGTCTTTCAAACAGTTTTTACTATTATGATCTGTATCTTGTGTTAAGTAAGAATAGAATATGTAAAAATTGTTTGCACATCACACTTTCTTGTGTTTTAATAAACAAAAATTTCTTTTTCTATAAATGTAAATAAAATCACGACCTATTATATCTCCAGAACGTAACTTTATTAGCTCAATATTTCGCTATTGTAGCTTCGTCAGTAATTATCGATATCTTACAAGTTAATTAATCCAGTTAAGTCTAAGTGTTCCAATTTAGATTTAACTGGATTAGTGAACTTGTAGGATATCGATAGCTCCCGATGAAGCTGTAATAGCGAAATACTGAGCTAATAAAGTTACGTTCTGGAGATATAAGAGGTCGTAATTTTATTTACGTTTTTAGAAATGTATCATAATAAACTCCAGTTTGTGGTAAACAAAGTTAAGAATAATAAAAAGGTATTTTATTTAGTCCCTAGTTTCGAAATGGTGGATAGTCCTACGTCAGTGGTTAGATAACTCCTAATAGCGGACAAAAGATTGTCAACCAATCTAACAGCTAGGTAGTTAATAAACCTTGCTGTGTTTAGACCGAACTCTTTAAACCATAATTTTTATTATTATTATTATTCATCTTTTGCATCAGCAACAATGCCTGTATTCATCTTTTGCATCAGCAACAATGCCTGTATTTATCTTTTGTATTAGCAATAATACTTGTATTTATCTTTTGTATAAGCAATAATGCCTGTATTTATCTTTTGCATCAGTAACAATGCCTGTATTCATCTTTTGCATCAGCAACAATGCCTGTATTTATCTTTTGTATCAGCAATAATACTTGTATTTATCTTTTGTATAAGCAATAATGCCTGTATTTATCTTTTGCATCAGTAATAATGCCTGTATTTATCTTTTGTATCAGTAACAATGTCTGTATTTATCTCTTATATCAGTAACAATGCCTGTATTCTACGAATATCATTCTGTACCCTTGTAACCTTTCCATTTATTTCTATAGTTTTTTTAACTATATAAAGTATTCAATCAAGCCTGAAGACAGCTGACGCTGCGATAGCTGAAAACTTGCACCAAAAACTAATAAAATAGACGTGTAGTTTGCCCATTAAAACAAATTAGCAACATCCATCTATGTTTTGACGCATATTACATGCAAAGTTAGACTACCACCAGGCACCGGGAATGAAATAAAATTAACCAGCATTAACCTCGTACCTTCTCCAGTTTTCCAAACATATGTTAGGATAATACCTTGAGTATAAGGTTTGTAATAGGGTTACTAGTTACCGTTATGAAATAAACAGATTAAATTAATATAATCATTATCATGATTTTTATGGAGGTTTTTACAAATATTTTACAAATTACATACACAATCGCTTTTATCATTATAGATATAACTAGAATTAGCATAGTTATGCCTACATCTTGTTGTAATAGGTTAAGAATAAGTGATTTATTAACTGTCCTTTTTTTACTACGTTCCTTAATTTTATTGATTTACAAATTTTTCGAACGTAACAAGTTTACCAAATAATGTCTCTGATTAAGCAAATATTCAATACTGTTTAGTATCCAAGTATAGGTTTGTACCTAAGAAAGAAGAATGTGTCGACAGATAAGGTTCCATTTACAAGTGGTTGAATCCAAAACATCCGGGACATATTTTTCATGTTCACGCCACCTTCTGTCAAGGGTAAATGAAACAATTAAATAATTAATAACTAAAACATAAAGTAAAGAATACTTATATTTACAAAATTGCTTTTACCCTTGAAAAATGGTATAAAATGGATCTGAAATTGCACTTCTCAGCGAGTGTATCAGGGCACTCACAGAGTGTTTATTTTTTGTAGTTAAACACAAAGCTACACAATGGGCTATTTGTGCTCTGCCCACCACGGGTATCAAAACCCGGTTTCTAGCGTTGTAAGTCCGTAGACTTACCGTTGTGCCACTGGGGGGCTCTCACAAAGTGATGTCAAATACAAAACACCAGCATTTCTCTAGCCCAATACTAAAATAAATCAGTATACTGACAGTTCTGGTGAACGGTTTTATTATTATGAGTCATTATTGTGGCCCTAAACTTTCATATTACTGTATCTAATTGAAAATTAACAAAAATATTGATTTCTTGTTTGCATTGGTAATATTTATTCCAAATCTTAAATACCACTTTACCTAGATATATCATAATATTTTGGTTTCTTGTTTGGGCCGGTAGAATTTAAAACTTATTCCAAGTTTTTATCGTTAATATTTAATAGCTCTGTATCTAATTCAAGTATAGAAAAAAAAACATCTTTGTTCCTTATTTGAGCCAGTAACATTGATTCCGATAGTGTTTTTGTTTTCTAACATAACTAATAGTAAATTGAAAATAATATTATATTAGGCCATACTTCGTGTTGACGTTTGTTCTTAATAGTTTTTCTGAGAAGCTATATTTTATTCATATCAACAACAGAACAATTCAGTGTAAACGCTTTAAGGGGTTGCATGAGATAAAAGTCGAAATACATAAAGAAATGGAAAAAAAACATGTTTGATAATGTCCCAAACAATAGGTAAAAATCCCTTAGCGTCAAGGATTTTAGTTTAAGTTTGACGGCTCAATAAATCTAAAATTCGGTGTTTGATCCCCGAGGTGAGCATAACGCAGACAGCCCCTTGTACATCTTTGCCTTAACAATAAACAAATGAGCTTTAATGTAGAAGGTAAATTTAACCAATCACGGGTTATAATAACATGATTAAAACTGGCATTTTTTCTCTGATGTTAACAGTTTATCTTGTACACTTTCATCTTGTCTTTTAAGGTTATATCTACAGCACATGGTCCGACGTCCAATCTCCACGATACGTTAATAAATCTGTAGTACCCTCTAGTAGAAACTGATCAAAATTATGTACTGGTTTCGTACGATAATGCATTAGAAATTTGTTTATTTAGTTCGCTGTTCCTCATTAAAATCGCCATTTCACGTGCTCATTACACATTTATAATATAACTATCTTAGTCCAACCAACCATAGTATATACAGGCTCAGAGAAATATTTTCTTAGTTTTTTTCATTTGGCTTTAAATTTGTCTCTATGCATCTTTATGTTTCGACCGTACACGTAATTCCAAAATAACTGGCTGAATGTGTTTCAAGATATTATTGGCTATAACTTAACGGCTAATCACCATTCGTTTGGGAGCAGTAAATTATTTTGTTTTATTTATCAAAATTAAATCTAAAAATGGAGCTAAAATGTGTTGACTGTTACAACACAAAGTCACTAGCATAAGATAGAAAACCTATGAATTATTTCACACCACTATTAAAATTGTTTTAAACGTTTACCCTTAGTCTTTCTTTAATTCATTCTTCCAAGTTATCGGGTATAAAACAGTGAAATGTGAAACAAAAATAGATTTAAAAAATTAGAGTTCAAAAGGCAAATGAGGAAACTATAAAGTGAAGTTTAATTGATAGAGCATTTCAGATTTTAGGCATATGAAATATCCAAAATTTTTAATGAAATACAAAAGGGAGTTTTTACAAATATTTTACAAGTTACATACACAATCGCTTTTATGGTTATAGATATAACTAGAATTAGCATAGTTATGCCTATATCTTGTTGTAATAGGTTAAGAATAAGTGATTTATTAACTGTCCTTTTACTATAGATATTAAGTTTAATATTGATTATTGATTTACTCTCACAAATAAAACTGCCAGCTTTCTTGTCAAAATAACCGTTATGTTGTATTTAGAAATACACATATATTTGAAATTAAAATCCCTGTTCCGAACACAATGAGTAAGGCAAACTAAGACACGGTGATAAATGTTGATGTACTCTTTTTAACACTCTATATCAGGATTCGGAAATATTCTATTTTTAAATATTTGCACTCTTTGACAATGAAAACCACGTTCATCTGTTAGATCTTCACTGATATTGTAAACTACCACAAACCTTCAAGTTCTGGTAAACATGAACTGTACAAAGTCAAACATTGGAACAGAACTATAGACTGCATGTATCGGGTTTTAAATGTTATGTTTTGGCATTTATTCGCCCTTTTCCACTTTCATAATAGTACGATATGATTTAAATCACAGATAAGTTTACTTGAATTACACTGCTATAGTGAAGTTAAAATCACAGATAAGTCTACTTGAATTATACTGCTATAGTCAAGTTAAAATCACAGATCAATCTACTTGGATTACACTGCTATAGTCAAGTTAAAGTCACTGATCAATCTATTTGTATTACACTGCTATAGTAAAACTAAAATCACAGATAAGTCTACTTGAATTACACTGCTATAGTCAAGTTAAAATCACAGATAAGTCTACTTGAATTACACTGCTATAGTCAAGTTAAAATCACAGATAAGTCTACTTGGATTACACTGCTATAGTCAAGTTAAAGTCACAGATAAATGTATTTGTATTACACTGCTATAGTCAAGTTAAAATCACAGATAAGTCTACTTGAATTACACTGCTATAGTCAAGTTAAAATCACTGATCAATCTATTTGTATTACACTGATATAGTAAAACTAAAATCACAGAAAAGTCTACTTGAATTACACTGCTATAGTCAAGTTAAAATCACAGATCAGTCTACTTGGATTCCACTGCTATAGTCAAGTTAAAATCACAGATCAGTCTACTTGGATTACACTGCTATAGTGAAGTTAAAATCACAGATCAGTCTACTTGGATTACACTGCTATGGTAAAATTAAAATGACAGCTCAGACTATTTGAATTACATCGTTATGGTAAAATTAAAAGCATATATCAGCTTTAATTAGTTTAAACTGCTTTGAAACGTTTTAAGACACAAATCAGTATTATTTAGTTTAAACGGGTATGGAAACGTTCAAGGTAAAAATGAACCTTACTGGTTTTATTCGATTATGATAAAGTTTAAAAAATAACTAGTTATATCTACTTCTTCAGATTTCTTTTTGTACAAATTACAGAAATTGGCTTAACACAGTAATAACAAGTACGATCTCCTTAAACGGTTACAGAAATTAAAAACACTTACTGAAAAATAGCCATTGAACAGCGAAAGAGCAGGAATGGCCCGTAATGATCCACACAATAGTTAAAAAACGAATGCCATGTAAAATATCAATTGATTCTTCTGATGTTGATGTATTGAGAAGCTTCTGCGCATTTCTCTTCAATGATAATGCCCTCAGCACTTGAATAACTTTGTTGTCTGGTCCAAGAAAAATCACACACAAACATACATATATATATACTCAGCGCCATCTATTACTTGGGATAAAAAATAAGACAGAAAGAGTATTATAAAGATTACTTTGAAGATGCAGTACGGGCTTAAAACCGTATATACTCCCTGAGCGTTTCGCTTAGTGTCTTTCATAAATATTGACACTGCCCGAACAATTATTGGCAACTTATCACTCCCTAACCATTGCCCTAAGTGTATTCTATAAACCTTAACCCTGCCCTTGTAACTTTTCACACTATGAATTACTACCTGATTGCTTCACTGAGTGTATTTCATAAACTTTAACCCTACCCTCGCAACTTTTTCAGTATATAAGTATTACTCTCTGACTATATTCCATAAATCTTGAACAACATTTGATAGCCATTTTTGAAAGTCCAAAATGTATATATATATTACGTTATAACTCCAAAAATACTGGCAACAAACACCTTCTTTTTAACGATTGCCTACATGTCGATCGTTGCAAAACGTACGTTCGTTTAAAGCTAACTCCGCAGTTGATAATGAACTCTCTTAAAGCATAATTAATGTAGACATAGGTTTGAGAATATAGACTTACCTGTATTTGTCTGATCTTGTTGGTCACAGAGAATCTCCAAAGATCCATTTATCTGTTTTCTTCTGAGACGTAAGTTAATTTCCCAAACCTCGTGTATGAACATATCCAAGACGGTACTGATGACAACGAGACATACAACAGCCAGGAGAACTGTCCTGAAAATATACAAAAAAAATTACATTAAACTATGTTCGTCTTTATGCTTATATATCAAAAATGGTTGACTTTTCAGTATGCCCAAATTTCACTCAACCTTTATTTTCAATATGTAAGAACAGAAATGATACTCATAATGCCAATTTTATTACAATAAACTAGCTTATTGAACTGTTTTGTTGACTTTTTTTTTCAAAATCTTTAGTGCATACTGATGAAGTCTAAATGGCAAAACGTAGGTTGAAATAAATTGTTTTAACTCTATGGAGTTTAAAGGTAGTTTTTTCTAACTTATTGGATAATGATGCATATTTTTCGGGGAGCGTATAATCATTATTGCATGTAGAGATTCACAAAAATATGATATTTTGTATGAAAATACCCCCGTTAATGATGTATAAAAGCATATTCCATTCTGCCTCTACCTGGTGGTTTAGCACTATGCTCGAGGAGTTATAACACTAAAATTTATTGGATAATAATAGCTTTGCATATTTTTCGGGAAACGTATAACCATTACTGTTCATTAAAAATTTGACGTATAACAATTCTTACATCACACAAGGGTTTATCGGTTGTATAATGAAATACTTTTGTTCACGACGTTTCACCAGGTTTACCTGGCATCATCGGGTGAAACGTCATGAACAAAATAAACAATTTTTACTCTGTACAATCTTTAAAGCCTCGTATGAAAAAAAACACAGTTCTTTCTAATATTTAACTCATATTTTCACATCATCCCACACGAATTTTTACACGGTACCTAATTCTAATTAACTTTGCACTTAGTTTCTTTCGGGTGATCTATTACAGAAACAATTGAGCCATTTGACAGATAGAACACACAAATTTTGAAAATGTTGACACATTCGAGTCTATACTTAAGTAAATCGTACGGGAATAGTTATTGTAAAATTTATACAATACATAGAATTGAGTTTATATTATTATATCAAAATATCACAAATGCTATTTCTCTGGCGTATAGTTTCTTCTTTAAAGACAACAGACAATAGGGTATTGTTCGTGCTTGAATGTGTATATCGTATTGTAATAAAAATAATACGGTTAATAAAAATCACGAAACACTAAAGTTCATGTGGCTCCAAGCCATATTTGGTCACGTTGGTTAGCTTTAAAACAAACTAGCGGAAGCGCCATACGGCGTACTGAGTGGGCAAACCTACGTCACACAAGGTAAACAAAAATGTTTGAACCATAGCTTGCAGACGATAAGGTGTCTAATGTTGTCATGTCGGCCGAAGTGGACGAGGACTGGCGGTTGTTTGATCTTTCTTGGTATGTAATTGTTTCAATAATTATATGCTACAATTTCATAAAAGACTGGTTTACACTGCTAATGACATGAAAATTGGACAGAATTTACAACCGTCAGTATGTTTACGTGGGCGAGAACATAATAAATCTATGAATAAATATTTGTTGTTGTTGTTGTTTTTCAAATTACGGATCGATACCTAGATGTAGATTAAATATCAGCTGATGGACTCTCGATACTGTATTCTGCGCATGCTCTGATTTGTATGCATATGACTAAGTATACACTAGTAGTGGAAAAGCAAAGATAGCTGGGGTCACTTTCAATAATCGATATTTAAGATCTAGCATTTATGTTGTAGCAGATCTACTGATGTGTTTATAGGCCCTTTTAGATTGCTGACATCTCTATATTGCGCTTAAAACCTTAGTTAAAACTTGAGCTTACCTTGTACGCCTCTCGTTTTCGAGCGGCTGATATGGACACAACTATCATCGCTGTTATTGTTATAGATCTATGAATAAGAGCGTGATGTGCCACTTGCATGAGCATGGCTGCTGCTTACCGTGCTTGATGGATTTCTCTCCAACTTTGGATATACACTGGGCACTGCATCGTTCTTTAGTGCCAGTGTTTTTGCAAATCCATATCAAATTGTAGTTTATTTTTCAAGTCTGATTCCAAAAAGTATTAACCGCATACATGGCAGCTTTAGGTCGGACTTGATAAGAACTTTGTCCAGGCCATGTGCTGTTTTCTGTCTGACTTAGGTGTAAACTTGTGCAGAGATACCTCCTGTTCCTTGGAAACCATAGTTGTTTACGTCCTGGAACAACTTACTCACGGATAACTGTATTCACGACGTCTGTCAAACGAAATTTGTCCAGAAAAAAACAAAACAAAAACGAATTGTTTTTACATACCGAGAATTTTCCACGCAGAAAATGGCGCACATAGAACAAGCCGCCCGCGACTAGCTTTGTTTACCTTGAATGATATCACTCGCCTCTGACTCAATTTTTCAACCAAGCGATCGCAAAGGCTGGCTGTTGTACTAACTTTGGGAGCTTGTAGGGCAAAGATGACTTGGTCCTAATTTTAAACTTATATTTCTATGGCATTTAAATATAAACACAAACGCATTGTGTTTTCAACTGTCCCACGTCTTTAATACAATCTTTGATTGTTTTCACATAATTCTGAAAGTATTTTGATGCCTAAAAAGACGTAGGAAATTCGCTAAAAGTGGAAAATGCTCACAAGATTAAATATTGATAATGACATAATCATGTAAAGACGTTCATTTTCTGACCTCCGAAATAAGTTTAATGTTTGTTTTCACTTAATTAATGGCATGCCCCCCCTCAAGTGGCTCAGCGGTATGTCTGCTAAAAGCTGGGTTTCGATACTCGTGATGAACAGAGCACAGATAGCCCAATGTGTAACTGCAAACAAACAAACTATTAATTACATATGAAAGAGATTACCAGCCCTGCAAACAAACAAACTATTAATTACATATGAAAGAGATTACTAGCCCTGCAAACAAACAAACTATTAATTAAATATGAAAGAGATTACCAGCCCTGCAAACAAACAAACTATTAATTACATATGAAAGATATTACCAGCCCTGCAAACAAACAAACTATTAATTACATATGAAAGAGATTACCAGCCCTGCAAACAAACAAACTATTAATTACATATGAAAGAGATTACCAGCCCTGCAAACAAACAAACTATTAATTAC